TTTCTAAGTCCTATAAAAATAAATGAACTTTGTATAATACGTCATAATTTATTTTTAATTACAGATACAAGATTTCAAGATTTTATGGAAGATATATCACTAAATAAGACGAATTTCACAACATTTATTACAATCAAGCCTCAGAAAAAAACGGCAAGAAGAACAAAGAAAGCAACTAAAAAAGCTACTGAATTGGAATTTCATTTTGATAATATAAAATCTATTTTAAATTATTCCAACGCGACACCATTTAAAGGTCGTATAGGATCTGAATATGCTTGTGATTACTGCACAAATAAATATAAAACACCAGCTGAATTAAAAGAGCACACATTGGTCCTTCACGAGTTGGATAAACCTGATTGTTTACGTATACAATCTCTTTCTAAATACATTGTATATCTAGATATTACTAAGTTGGAATGTAGACTTTGTAACATATCTATACCTAAATTAAAAGATCTTTTATACCATTTAAAAATAGATCATGAAGAAATAATACATTTAGATATAAAAAATCATATTGTACCGTTTATTTTTAATAATAATTTGAAATGTGTAATTTGTTCAAACACTTTTATGGTGTTTGAAGATTTGTTAAAACATATTTCTACTCATTATAAGAATTATTCCTGCGATTTATGTGATAATAAGTGGTTTATTAATAGAAGCCTATTATTAGATCATAAGAAAACTGTACATTTTATTTGAACTGTTAATATAAAAATTAATAAATAAACTCGATAAATCGACTATATTTTACCGATAAATCTAGGTGATGCATGTAATCTGTAAAGACTTCATGGCGTAGAAGTACAGTATAATCTCACTAATCTGGCACTTCGATAGATCAATACGTCAAATAATCCGGGACCTTCCGCTGCGTTTTTGACTACTAGTCTAACCTCAAAATTTATTTTTACAAGTGAATAGGTTATATTTAAAAATGTCAAATAAACGCAAACATAAGCAACTAGATTTGAATCATAAAATTTACTATGACTTTCAATATAATACAGTTATCCGTACATTCCAATAATCCGGCACCCTACGGATTTTACAGTGCCGGATTAGTGAGATTATATCGTGATATAATTTGGTATACGTGTTATAATAACCAAAGATATAATTCCAGGTGGACGTACAACGGGGTTAGAAATTAAACGGAAAAAATCCTTCATCGAAATATCATCTAAATCTCAAAAAACACGGAATTCCAGAAATGGGGAATCCCCAATTATTTTGTTAAAGAAGAAAAATGAATTGGACCAACATTTGGATAATTTGAAAGTAATATTGATTAATTCAAATGCAACTATTATACGTTGTAAAAACAGTATAGGTTTTGTTTGTTGTTTTTGTGAAAAACAATATTCAGATCCAAATGATTTAAAACAACATAATTTGCAACACGAAGACATATTTGAATCGAACTATATAAGAAATCAAACTATGCCCACGTTATTAATTAAACTAGATATAACAAATCTTTGTTGCAAGATTTGCAGCAAACGATTAATCGATTTAGACGAGTTATTCCAACATTTGGAAGAACACGAAATTAATTACGATATAAATTTAAAAAGTCATATCGTACCATTTAAATTCGATAGCGATAAATTAAGATGTGTAATTTGCAAATATATATTTAATAATTTCAAAGTACTTTTAGAACATATGAATTTACATTTCAGGAATTACATTTGTAATATTTGCGATACTGGTTTCGTGAACAAACGTATCTTACAAACGCACGCTTATAGACATAAAATAGGTATATTTCATTGTTGTTATTGCGGTAAAGAATTTAATAATAAAATAAAACAGAAAGCCCACGAAAGAGCTGTACATATTTGTTTAAATAAAAGAAGCAGATGTGGTTATTGCGGTGAAAGCTTTTCTGATTATACTAAAAAACATGAACACGAAGTTAAAATGCACGGAGTTAAACCAGTGGTAGTTACATGCTACGCTTGTGAGAAGATATTTGATAACCAACGATCTCTATCAGTTCATATAAAGACATTCCATTTATTGGAACGTTAGCTTTATGATTCAGGGGTTTAAGCTGTTATCTGCAGCTCTTGGGTTCGAATCCTGTCATGTACCAATGTGTTTTTCATATGTATATTTATCGTATGTTCTTACGGTGAAGGAAAATATCGTGATGCTGCACATATTTGAAATTCAAAGATATGTGTGGTCACATAACTTAGGCTCCGTGACCCTCAGTGGGGACCTATAGTGAGCTGATGATGAATCGAAGCCCCTTATACTTACTGTGGCTTTGAGTTCGATTCCCTTAATGGGATTATTGTGAGCTCTTGTAGCTTCGAATTTAGTATGAATGATTACAAAAAATGTAAGTAAATTATTTAACAAAAATGTAATATTGTAATTTTAAAAAGATGTGTGTTTCTGAGATTAAAATCTCAATTTAAAGTTTTCTTTGTTTTGACAAAGATAATGACAGGAATGGCAATATGTCGTACGGAGATTTCGTCTCAGAAACCAACATACACCAAATGAATACTCTTGTAAGATGTTCTGAAGGAAATTATTAAATTTAGTATAAACTAGTATAAACGCCATCTAGTAACAAATACTAGAAACCATGACAGTGTCAGAATAATATTTTGGTAATGAAAAAATGAGAATTATAATATTTTGTGTGTTATTTATTTGATTTTAAATTATTTCTGAATTTTTTTTGCATTTGTAAAAACTAATTTGGTCCTTATTGTTTTGGAATTTGTAACATGTAACGCCATCTCTTAGCATAAAGTGCACTAAATTTACTAAAATTTAGCGACCTCGTGGTACAAAGCTACTAGTAACGCCATCTATTGACACCTAATTATTATATGAAAATTTCTTCCTTAAATTTTATGACAATTTATGTTATGTTTCTGTATATTATCAGACAAAACTCTCGCTATGTGATATCTAATACCTTCTATTATTGACTTATCGAAAGTTATTGTCAGTTCTATGCATTTTTGAAGTACTTAAAATCGCTTTGGAGAAAACATACTTTGTCTTACCCCTCTATATTCCATTAGACAGGCTACAAGTCGTGATATTTTGTGCCCATTTGATTTTCGCCATATTACCGCTGACAGTAATCTTGGAAACTCGATTTAATAATAGAAGATAGAATTAGCATATAGAAACTTAATTAGTTCTTTAAAATAACGAGGCAAAAGCTCAAGAATGTTTAGACATCTGTGGGGAAGGTGGGGGAGGAGGGGGGGTGGTAAAAAAAACACAAAATCATTATTACTCTGTACAAATGACAATATTTACATTTTGGCGGTCATCTGCGGCCGTCGCTTACAAACCTAAATCAACCTATAAATATAACATAACACAATTTAGGTCAATAGGAAACTTGTGGGATAGTTGCTAAAAATAACCGTTCATTTCCACTGTCGTAATATTTGTATCCTTCTATGTAAAAGGCTTCGCTATTTTGGCGAATACAAGAATGCTAGAGTTGATGTTTCTATACAATTATGACAACAGCGAGAACTATTACGAAGATTTTGTGACTAATTTTTTCAAATTTAATTTTTCTACTAAAATCTTTTTACATTTTTTTTTACCAAATTGTAATTTAAAAAAAAATCCATACAAACTTACATAACCATACAAACAAAACTTTTATCTTAAACATTTTAACAGAAAACTTGACAAATTCACAATTCATTCGAATTTATTAAAAAAATACAACTAAAATGTACATATTTCAGTTGATTAAAATGATTATTTTTAAACTATAGATATATAATCTATTGATTAACCAAATTTTTAAAAAAAATTATGACAAATTTGAGGAAATTTGCCCCAAAAAAAATTGCCTCCGGTATATTTATGCCTCATTTTTATGCTCCCATAAATTATATATCTATGGACTAGACAGAAAGGTTGGAAATAATTTTAATTCTATTTTCTATTTCAATAAAATAGCCTCGGAAAATACAAAGTTCATTTGTACGAATGATCTAATATGAAAAATTAAAAAAAATATGTTTTGAAACATGTTTTTTTACAATACAAACGCTGTGAGATATTGTGTCTTTTATACAAAATTATATGTCGTTACATGAAAGAGAAGAAACATGAAGTCTGTCTTGTTTTGTAGAATTTTAAGCTATTTTCAAATTTATACAAACAAAAAAAAGGTGCAAATAAATGTGAGAAAAGTTTAAAATTATCGTATATAAGGACTGAATTTCTGGAGTCATTAGTTATAACCGGTTTTATTTAAATGTATGAAATTAACTAAACTAATACATTTAAATATTAGTATTAAAAATGATCATTTAATCATTTCTCAATTGGGAATGTTAAGTGAATTTTTTTCTTGTCAAAAACGAACTAAAATCTTGTTGCATTTGGCGCGAAATTTTATACACAAAATGGCGTCATTCCAACACAATTTTAACCAAAATTTAAACATTTAAATTTGATTTAAAATAATTCGCAATAAAAAAAAGCAATAATAAAATATTTAAGGTAATTTTTAAAACCATAATTTATAAAAAAATCTAAGCTTTTTCAATGACGTCAAACGTTCAAAGATTTTTATCAAGCAAATTAAAGTTAGAAATGCATTTAGACCAAAAATATATGTTTTCAATCGAACCCAATAATTAATCTAAAGATAGATCCAAAGATAACAAATGACAGATCTTAAGATCGGTTACTTTATGAAATTGCATTAAAAAAAATGGAAAAAAAATTTCTTTCCTTTATTTTTTAGGGACTTTCGTTCTTTTCGAGAGCGTCGGTGGCTCAGTGGTCATGCACTTGACTTGCAATCTACAGGTCGTGGGTTCAAATCCCGCCATGTACCAATGTGTTTTACATATGTACATTTATCCTATGTTCTTACGGTGAAGGAAAACATCGTGATGCTGCACATATCTGAGATGAAATTCAAAGATATGTGTGAAGTCAACCCGCACTTGGCCAGCGTGTTTGATTATGGCCTAATCACCCTTAACTTAGGGTAGGCTCCGAGCCCCTCGGTGGGGACGTATAGTGAGCTGGTGATGATGATGATGATGTTCTTTTGAATGGAAAAAATTGTACGTTTGTATGTTAAGATTAAGTTCAAAAATTACTTGACAAATTTCAAATATTCTTTTACTATCAAAATGCTAAATTATCAATTAGTTACATATACTATATTTATTTCTAGATTTTCTTTAATTCCCCACAGAAAAAGCTAGATTAATTATTGAGTTTGACTTAGAAATTCCTTAAATTTTGTCATAATTCTGTTTAAATCTTATATCAAGTAATAAAATTATTGCTCAAGAAACATTTCTACAAAATCATATTCAAAATTCGTTACAAGAGAGAGACACAAAATATAATGTACGAGGAGTGAAAGAGAGATGTATATTAAAACATGCAATTTTCTACTTATTTTGTCTCTTTCATATACAAAAAAAAAAACTTAATTCCGTATATTTTAAATATTTAGTTAACACTTTAGTGTAGAAATTTTACTAAGAGCGTTACTTAGTGAAGAAATCTACACTTAGCGATGATAAATGGATAATCAAAACTTAATTTATCTTTAGATCGACAAAGTTATCTGATCCGGTTAAAGTCAAACTTTGTTAGCTGACAAATTGTCACAGGATCCTTGTCATGTGTTTTATGTCACTTTATGTCTACTCAGACATAGAATTTTACATAATTTTTTGACAGAACTATAGTTCACCGGGTCAGATATGTTTATCACACTGTATGTATGTATGATTTATGTATGAAGTTTGTATGAGTTATGACGTCATCATAAGTAGTTTTTTTACATATTCTGCCAGAACTAATGCTGAACGTGTGAGATAAGATCATGACACGCTATATGTTTGCATGTTTGTATGTATGTATGACATGTACGGTGTATGTATGAGTTATGACGTCATCATGTCGTTGTTCTGGTGCGAGCTGACGTTAGCGCCCTTCAGTAGGTCGTTGATGTCCCGACGGAAGGTTGATAAGTTTTGTGTGAATCTGAAAAACATATATTTAATATAAGAAATCAGTTTATTATTTTCCATAAAGTCTGATATACACGGACTACAGATACACTGCCATAGTCCGTGTATGGCAAGTCTTGATTTTGGTGTTATTAGCATTATTATAGGATATGAACTATAAATCTTACTAATATAATTGCGATATTTTGGATGGATGGATGTTTGTATTTTAGTAATTTAGTACACACTAGCTGTCACCCGCGATTCCGTCCGCGTGGATATATATAAAACTTAATTAGTGTAGTCCACCCATCCATCCATCCACATCACATCCATCTAAACATTTGAATTTATAGTAAGAAAAAAATGAATAAATAGTATCCTATGTCCGTCTCCTGGCTCTACGCTACCTCCTCAACAATTTTCAGGCATATCTGTAAAGCCGTTCTTGAGTTATAAATAGTGTAACTAACACCACTTTCTTTTATATATATAGATACATAGTCTTGAACACATATGCTATTTATTATAAGTCATTAAGTTGGCACGTGAGGTAAAAGAGCACTCTTGTAATAGACGTGCCAAATGAACTTCTCACATATGTGCAGCATCAAATTTTCCTTCACCGTAAGAACATAGGATAAATGTACGGGTTTCGAACCCAGAACTTGGTGACAAGTCAAGTGCTGTAACCACTGAGCTATCAACGCAATTAGCCTTACCTATCTCTATTCTTAGTCAACAAATTAGGTTCAATTCCAGCCATCAGATTAGAGAACCAGTGCGCCAGTTGAGCCTGCTTGTCTCTCGGCTGTCGGGAGATGAGATCAGCTCGCAGACGAGAGAACTGCTCCTCATTCAGCAGCACCAGACCCAACAGGGGACGGGACATGGACCACTGGTTGCAGCACTCTTCAAACATTATCACGTTCAATACCTAAATAAAATATATATATTAAAATTACCATCTTACTAATATTATAAATAGCGAATGTTTAGAAAAGTGGTTCCCAAACTTATTTTGTCTACTGCCCACTTTGAGAATAAATATTTTTTTAGCGCCCCCATATTTTGACATATTTAAAAACCACTATAACTTCAAATTAAATTAATGAATTATTGTGACCTATATATGTATATTAACGGAGAATTGTAAAGGAAACTTTTACTATAACCCGCAACTTGAGACCTGCAGCAAGCACAAGGGGACGTTATCGCACACGCGGGAAACACTGGTTTAGATAGATGTTAGAAGATATCTCAAGAAGTACTTCAGGTGGCTCTCACGTTTGCCATCTTATTATATTTAAAAAATTAACACTAAGTATTAGATTTTCAATTATCCTGGTTTGATTATAACTAACAGTGGCAAGTAGTTGTTGCATTATCTCCGGCCTTCGTTGTAACACTTCTACGAACATATTGCTCGTCTCCGGCGGCGGCTGTCTCGGGTTCGGCACTTTGTTACTTGCTGGAATCATAAATTATACAACTCAGATATGTTAATCACTAAGGAATACACTTAGTGTATATTTAATAGTAATACTGTCAAATATAAGCGTCAATAGCCTAATGGTTAAGGGTATGGATTTCCGACCACTAAGTCGGGGGTTCGAATCCCGACAATTTTATTTATATATAAAGATTGTTAGTCAACTTTATTTTTGGAATGAATGCATTTGAAATACTCGTGAAGATTTTAACTTTAAATTTGTAAATTAAAAAAAATACATTTTTAATGTTTTTTATAATTTTTTGTTAATTTACTTAATATTTCTTGTATCATTCCAACTAAGCTATGCTTCTGCTATACGATTTACAAAAGTCGAATGTTGGGATTCGAACCCGCGACCTTATGATCAGAAATCCATACTTAACCATTAGGCTATTGGCGCTTCGAATTATCTAACAGATGGCGTTAGAAATACAATAAAACCTACTATATTTATAACTGTAAAATAACATATAAATAAAATTGCTATGTCTGTTTGTAATAACCGGTGTTTTACATATATATGAACATACAAGCCGTCGCCCGCGACTCCGTCCGCGCGGAATAAAAAAAAACTCACTGACGATTCGCTCCTATTGATCGCAGCGTAATGTTAATTAGCCTAAAGCCATCCTTTATAAATGGACTAAGCAACAAAAAAAGAATTGTTCAAAACAAACAAACTCTTCCGCTTTATAATATTAAGTATACATATAAAGACTACTAAAAATAAAAATTATTGTCTGTCTGTCTGTTTGGACTAATGTCTGAAATGGCTAGATTTTGACCTGACTTACTATCAAGTAGCTGATTTTATAATATATTATAAACTTACTTTTTTGGACAAGTTGTTTAAACAGATATGTTACTATATGATCTAATGTCGCGCAACACCCGGTGCAGACACTAGTATCTGAAACATAAGTATACATAAGTGAAGATTTTTTATATCATAAGATGGCAAACGAGCGGTCAATTGAAATCGCTGAAATAACGAAGCGATTGCCCATAGACATACACAATTGCATATGCGTTGCCTACCTTTAATCGAGGGAGGAGAGGATGCACAGAGAGAAAATATCTTCCCTTTCCATGCATCCTCTCATCCGGAAAGTCCACTTCCACTTTCCATCCTTATAAGAAAAAGTGTGGGAAGGGAAAGAGGACTAAGACTGCCTTTATGTATAGAAAAAAAATGTCTAAGTTCCTTGTAGTCTCCGGAATGATTTGACAAATTTTGTCTATACTTTAGAAGTAATGTCTACAGGCATATTGTAGGCTATTTTTTTCAACACAATTGATGAGGTTCAATAGCTCAGTGGCTAAAGGATTTATAATCTGCAGATCCTAGGTTCAAATCCCGATATACTAATATTTTCCATACTTTTAGACATCAGAATGATTTGGTGAAAATGTAACGCTTTCATTACCGTTGTCATAAACGTTGAATGAATAAGGCTAGTGTTGTCCCAATACACCGGCACTGCCGGATATTCTTCCTAACAATACTAATGTACAAATCTGACATTCTTGTGATGCTGCACATATTTGTGAATGTCAAAAATGTGAAGTGATGCACTGGACTAAAATTTAACCCAGAGACATCACTTAGGGTAGGTTAGACCCTCAGTGGGGTATAGTGAGCTGATGATACGTTATCATGTTTTCTTACCTAAAGCAGTTAATCCTTCAGATATTGATGACAATATATACAATGTGGCTTCAGGTTGTAATGATGATAGAAACGGCATATGATCTTGTGCAAGTCGTTCTAATAGTACATAATACGTTTGTGATAGTTTTGGATAGTCCTGAAATTAGAAAAAAACATATATAATTATAGTATGTCTATTTAAGAAAGATAAGTTTTATGTACGATGTTTTTTTTTAAGTAAGTAAAAAAAGAAATTGTTCCCTAAGATTTTTTTTTAATATTTTAAGTTACTTTGTCTTAGTATTGTAACAGTAGAAGATAAGCAAGAAACCTCTAATTTAGTGTCACTGTGTGATCCTGAACGGTCTTCATAAATGAGAAACTCTGGTAAGAGAGAAACATTCATAAATAAGAAAAATTCCTTGGATTCTCGTTTATCCAGGATCTGTATTTGATTATACTAGCGGAGCCGACAGACGTTGTCTGACAATTTGACACTGCGATGTTAGCGCCGTCTGTCGGATCCAATGTAAAACATTCCAAAATCAACAACTACTAATAAATTAAAAATTTATTAAAAAAACATTGTCCAGTGGACAAAATTGTAAATCTAAACCATTCCCAGATCCCCTTAAACATACACAAAAAATTTCATCAAAATCGCTCCAGTCGTTTGAGAGAAGTTCAGTGACATACACACTCACAGAACAATTATATATATAAATATGACGGCGCGATCATCGATCGATTACGATTGGAATCGATTATTTGTTAAGAGTGAGCTGTCAATGTCACTATAGCGGAACGTCAAACGGACAGCCATCTTGTGAGGCAATTCCTATTGGAGAGCGTCACGGAGGTTGTTGCACGTTACAGACGGATCGCCATTATAATTTGAACCACATTTAATTAATACTAAGATTGCAGCTAATTGCAGGTGAATAATTGAGTTATCTCTCTGCATACCCACTTAACATGGATTTAACTGATGTCGGTTTTCAATATTCTGACAATATACAAAATAATACTAGTAGTAAATAAAGGTACATTTTCACTAACCAATAAATCGCTTTGTGGTATATGCAGCAATAATTTAACGAACATATTCAACGCGTTGTCTAAAGCCTCGTCTCCGTATAACCTGAAAAAAATAATCTTAATAAACTCCAAAACTATTAAACTAATTCTTAACAAAATTTTGTGAGCAACTTGAGAGTAAAGGTAGTTTTTATATCAATCTTACTAATATTATAAATACGAATATTTAGATGGATGTTTGAAGATATCTTCAGAACTGTTGCATGAATCTTGATGAAATTTGAGGTGTTTTTTGTTAATTCCGCACAGACAGAGTCACTGGCAACAACTAGTATATTTAAAATTGGGAATGTTTAGATGTATGTTTGTTAGAAGATATCTCCGGACCAACTCAACTGATTTTGTTGAAATTTGTCATACATATAGAACATAGTCTGGAAGAACACATACACTACTTATGTTTTTTTTAATTCCGTACAGACGGAGTCGCGGCCAACAGCTAGTATATTCCAAAAATCAAAATAGGACCTTTGCTATGTTATTTTAGAGTTAATAATAATTACAATAATTAAAACAAAAAATAGGTTGCATAAAACATAGCGATAGGAATTTTGAAAAAAAAAAAACGATATCGAAGTTTTTTTTTAACTATTTTCTTTGTAAACTTACCTGAAGACACCAAAATTAGCGTAATTTCCACAAAGAGCCGCTTTTAGTATACAAAAGCAAACAGATATGCCTTTTAATTTCATCGCGTACATATCCTTCTTACTTACTTCTATTGTTACTATTCTGCTGCCTGAAAATATACATCATCATCATCATCATCAGCTCACTATACATCACAACTGAAGGGCTCGGAGCCTACCCTAAGTGATGTGACTAGGTCATAGTCAATGCTGGTCAAGTGCGGGTTGACTTCACACATATCTTTGAATTTCTTCTCAGATATGTTCAGCAACACGATGTTTTCCTTCACCGTAAGAACATACGATAAATGTTAATATGTAAAACACAATGGTACATGGCGGGATTCGAACCCAGGACCTGCTGACAAGTCAAGTGCTTAACCCCTAAGTCACCGACGGTCGGTAACTCAGGATAATATATATAAATCTTACTCTGAGAATATCTCCGGAACAAACAGATCTTGATGAAATTTGGTATAGATGTAGAACATAGTCTGGAAGAACACATAGACTACTAAGTTTTTAATTCTACTAAGATAAAGTCGTAGGCTACAACTAGTATAAAAATTGAAAAATCTTTTTAATTAAGAGTAAACTAATCTTAAGCTTAGCCTTTTGAAAGCCATACAAAGAGCATTGTAGCTCAGTGGTTAAAGCACTTCACTTGTCAGCAGATCCTGGGTTCGAATCCCGCCATGTACCAATGTGTTTTTCGATTTACATATGTACATTTATCCTATGTTCTTACGGTGAAGGAAAACATCGTGATGCTGCACATATCTGAGAAGAAATTCAAAGATATGTGTGAAGTCAACCCGCACTTGACCAGCATTGACTATGGTCTAATTACATAACTTAAGGTAGGTTAGACCCTTAGTGGGAGACTTAGTGATAGCAAACTAAAAATTAATCTTTAACATACCATAAGCACATATAAATGCAGATAATTCTCTAAACAATAGTATTCCATTTGGGGAGGAGACATCAAAATGTAGCCTTTGGTTCCTGTT